AACCAATGATAACACATTTTTCAGACCTTTCAACAAACTTATCTGATATATTTTGCTTAACAGAAAAACATAAACACCGAAACACTCTTAAATTCTCAAATTTAGGCAAACATTTGTAAATCATTTCAAAAGGAGACTTCCCTTTTAAAACTGAAGTAGGAAGTCTATTTATCAAAAAAAAACAGTTAAAACAGATTCACCCTAGAACTTAAGAGGTAAACCGGACTGAAATAAAAGAGACCAAGCTACATTCAAAAGATGTATATGTTTTCTCTCCACAACACTATTCTGTTGTGGGGTATAAGTATAAGTAGTTTGATGAGAAATACCATTTTCATCAAACAAAACTCTTTAAATTGAGAATTAACAAACTCAATACGATTATCTGATCTATCAATCTTAACACTCGAATTAAAATGATTCTTCAAGAAATTATAAAACATAGAAAACCAATAAAAAACTTAAGTTTTCGATTTTAACAAATAAACCCATACACCTCTGTTGAAATCATCCACAATAGTTAAGAAATATTTGAAACCATCAGTAGTAGCAACCCTACAGGACCCCAGACATCCATATGCACTAAATCACCTAAAGAAACACTCTTATCTTCACTCAAATGAAAAGAGTTCCTAGACTGCTTAGCTTTGTGACAAACATCACAAGGAGGAAGATACTCGGACCCAAAGGACAGAACATTCTTAAGAGAATTTAAAGATTGGATAGCATGGTGACCCAATCTATTATGCCAAGTAATTTTTGAAACATAACAATTAATCCTACTTAAAGAGGCCATATTACCTGAAGAGTAACAGTCTTTAAGATAATACAGCGCTCCTGATTCACTACCAGTCTCCACAGTCACCTTGGACTTGGAATCCTGAATACAACATTTAAACTCATCAAAAACAAGTTGACATTTATTATCCTTAAAGTTTATGAACTGAAAGTAAATTAACATTGAACTCAGGAACAACTAAAACATCAAACAAAACAACAGACTCAGACAATCTCATATTCCCAATTTTGTTGATTCTAGCAAAGGATCAATTAGGATGATCTACTTTAAGATCAAGTTTTGAAACATCAACAATGTTATCTAACTTAAAATCATTTTTGGTCATATGATGATTTGCACTAGAATCAACAATCCACTTCCTATTAGTAGACACAGAAGTGTTACAACAAATACCTGCCATATTTGCAGATACTTCACTTGTTGAAATTTTCTCATTAATGAGACTGAGAAACTTCGTATATTGCTCACTTGTGAGAAAAAACTTTTCAGAAGAGTTGTTAGTTTTAACATCAGAATCAAAAGAACCATTAACATCAGAAGAGACAGAGTTATTAGAAGGAAATGTCTTATTAATATTATGAGATTCATTCTTGAATTTTAAATCATTTGGAAAACCAATAAGTTTATAACATCTTTCAATAGTATGTCCCTTAAGACCATAGTTTTTGCATTGAAGATTAGAATTTCCACGAGTCTTATTACGTTTCTGATCATTGAATTTACCAACAAAAACAGTAACCAAAGACTTAGTGGAGGACTAAGAAATGGAACCTCCTTTTTGGTGTGATTCCTCACAAGATACAATTGAAAAAACATATTTTACATTAGGAAGAGGTTCCATTAACAAGATGTGGCTTTTAACCTGACTGAATGTATCATCTAAACCAGACAAGAACTGCATTAGCTTCATTAACTTTGAGTGATTAACAAAGTCAGCTGAGGCTTCACATGTACATTCAGTCAAGTTAACTAATCCATCAAATTCTTTCCACAAGGCATCAACCCTATTGTAATACTCAGAGACAGATAAACCACTATGAGTAAGAGAGTTTATTTTTTGATGTATATTGAAGACAACAGAACCACCAGCTTTAGAATATGTTTCACTTAGCTCAGACCAAATATCAGAAGCATTGTCACTACAGGTATGATTAGCATATAAAGACTCAGAAACAAAACCAAGAATCCAAAAACATACCACAACATTAACACGTCCCCATTACGAATTTTAGTTCCATCCTGACTAGGTTTAGGAAAAGTTTTATCAACAAAACCTAATTTATTCCTACCTTTCAAAGCCCTAGTCATAGAACTCTTCCAAATCCTAAAATTCTCAGTACCAGTCAATTTAAAACTAATAACTGCCACTACACCATTATCAGAAGGATGTAAGAACAACAGATCATCAAAATCATAATGATCTGGACTCTTAGAGCCAGATGCAGAAGGAGTTTCCCCAACCATGACTCATTGACTATACTAAACCAGATTCTGACCACCTTTCTTGGGGTAGACAAGCTAGTATAACCACAAGACCACAACCTCGTTATCAACAAATTGTAAGAGTCACAATCAACACACAACAGAAGCACCCAAGAAATTAACCTGAACAAACAAGAAAAGGAAAAAGCGTGCGAAAACTTACAGAAATCCACACAATCGCTCAGCAAGCAGCAAAGTAGTTTACCGTTAGATCTATATAAAATAGAGTCTAACACTGAAGTAGACGTGCATTCAAATGCCAAAAACCACCAAACACCTCAGATTACACCGTTTGCGACCTTAACGTTGACCGTCGCTTAACGTTGGCCGTTAGACAGCAAGAAATTAGACCTAACGTTTACATTCAAGTGATCGTTTACTATTAAGATCGACGATGTCTGAGAGAGTTTAAACATCCCAATACAAGCAACCAGATCAACAGATGATCGGAACAAAAGAACAAAAAAAAACTTCCAACGAAGCTTCAAGAACCAAAAACAGATTGAGAAACCCTAACTCAAAACAGATCGAGAAACCCTAACTCAGAAAACTCGAAATCAAAAGAAAACGACGCATGAGTAAACCCGCTCGGATACCACGTTAAAAACGTAAACAACAAATCTAATAACAACATCAACAAATCTTTTATTAACTGAAAATAAGATCCACTTGGCTTTCAAGAACTTACAACTTGAAAACTCACTACATCACTCACACTCAAACGTGTATAACAGAAACTAACAGATTTAAGATTTTACAAAACAAAATTAACAAGAATAAAACAAACCCTAAACAGACCAAAACCCTAATCTGAAGAAGAAGACGAGAGAACAGAGAGACTCGAATATAAGTGTGTGATAAAATGATCTGATCACAGCTGAAACCAAATATATACTTCGAGTAATATCCATGGATCAAAACCGGATTCTATCCGACCCAAACCCATAATCAAGGATCAACGTGTTTCCTAAGTTTATAGAAAATGAGCAGCAGTCCCTGCAATAACAAAACAATACACAATACACCCAATACCACAAATCTTACATCATTCTCACGATAAACCTTTCTCCAATTTTACAGTTTTAGCCCAGATTAAGAATATATGCTCAATGTTAATCTTGTCATAAATAATCATACTTTCAACACCGAACAAAGACAAAAACAATCAATAGACTTAGAATGCATGTCCAATAAAGCACAAAACTTCAAAAATTTCCACCTTCGATTGACCTATCCGGTAAGTGTTTTTTTGGAATATGTTTTCTAATAACAAACTAAAATTTTGCCGCCGCTTTGTGCGGGCCCACTGCTAGTACTCAATAAGTTAGGATTGAACTTTATTTGATGAAATAAAGTGTAATTATCTGATCCATTGATTATTTCGAATTTGAAAGATGTTAGGGATTTGATTGTTTGTTGGAATAATGTTTTCAACTTATTGGATCCACATTAAATCCGTAAAAGTCCCTCCCATAGTCTTAGAAAATACATAGACCATGTCCTAACCTACAATACCACATACATAATAATAAATTTACAACTTACATAGATACAAATCCCACTTCCCATATTTACAAAATTTATTCAATAATAACTCAACTCAATAACCAAGAAAAATAAAAATTTAAGATTACCATACATCTTACAAACAAAAACTCACATCGTTTACGTATATATTGATTCACGGATTCATATACGCAATTTACATAAATGTATTTACTCCTTGTTGTCAGAAGACCGGTCTTTCTTCTGTCCACCACCAAGAATACGAGATATCTGTAGACCACTGCAGAACGCTTGGTTGAAAAGCATATGTGTTTGGAATTCTGACACAAATGGAAACCATGCCAGAAATGCAACCAACCAGGGTGAATAAAAGTAACCCCATGATTATTTCATAGTATTGTGCTAGGGTTCTAATCGACGACTACAGTCCAGATCTTCGCAAAAATGGCCTCAAAGCTTGTGATATCTAACAATAGATAACAAACAGCATATAAATAACACCGATTAACATCGCTAATTTTTTTAATTTTGATGATGTGGCACTGACGTGACAAGTTTATTGACACAAGTTCATTAAGTAGTATTATGAAAATGTTGGAACAAATTTAAAGTAAATAAACCTGCCACGTCAACAAAAAGTAGAAAATTCCAGTGAGGGGAAATTTTGTAAATACATTTAAAATAAAAATACTAACCAGATGTAGTCCCTGGCCAGTAGGGAGGAAGCCGAGGATTCATATGACAATATCCTTGATTGTCATGTGTGGTAGTGCAACGAATGTGATTAGAGTAGAAGCAAATGCAACAACTATAAAACCATTGATTAATCGGAATAGAAGTTGATAATCAGCACTAACAATTTTTCTCCAATATGACATGGCCTGAAATTCGATGTAAAAAGTCAAACAGATTTGATATGCTAGCCAAGCTTATGGTTATGAATTTTTATGCAAAAATGTTTCATAGATTAAAGCCAAAAAGAGACCAGGTTTATCCACGGATTATTTATAAACAGACGTACCTTTAAATTTATGTTGCTTGTCCAATAAAAGGACATGTAACTATAGAACAGAAGCAGAATACCAACGGATGCAGTATCAGAATACCTTTAAATTTTAAAGGGGAATACAAGTCAGTTGTTGAACCCTCTTGCATATTTGTTAAACAAAAAATTTAATTATAATTATATAAATAAATATTTTTCATTCTACTTTTAGTACTTTCGCAAGAGATAGTGATGGTAGGCATGGAGATTACATACCTCTCTTACTATCACATCTTTATGGGGCGGAAGTTGTCTAGGCAGATCTTTAAGCTTCGGGCATGATGAAGTAAGAAGATGTTTAAGACATGGTAGCTGTTGTAAGACCTCCGATAGTGATTCTACATCCATAAAACCTTCAAGTTCTAGAGAAACTAAAGATGGTGGAAGAAGAAAAGATGATGGAGCAACGGCATTCCTCATATATTGTGCAACTGCAAATGAAACCACTCCTGAATTTTGGCCAGATAAGTTTAGTTTAACCAATGAGGTTGGAAAATTCTGATGGCCCCACTCTGACATGGGTTTATTTAGTCGACCTATAGATAGGGTACTTAAATTAGGAGGCCACAACCCACAAGGAAATGAGTAATCCAAACTTGGACAATCTTTCATAAACAGTTCTTCCAAAGATGTGAGATTTTGCAAATGCTCATGAGGAAACGACTTTAGATTCTTGCAATCACCAATCTGAAGATATCTGAGACAAAAAAATTGAAGAAAACCAAAACCTTTCTCTGGAGTGGGGTGGGGGTGCTCCTGCCATGTTGAGAAGGTGAAGGATGTCATTGAACTACATTGAAAGAGTCGTAACCTCTCAACACTACGTGGACAAGTGTAACTCTCCATTACAAAATTTCGAACAATCATCACTTCTTTAATAGATTCCATGATACTCATACTCCCCATATTAATCATCTCTTTCTCTCCTAATGACACCAACTCTATACAATGACTTACCTCCAACGTTTGTAAACATGGAAAAATCTTGCATGTCTTCCATTCTTGCTCCGGCCACAAGTGTCTAAGTCCATGACAATATTCAATGTTGAGAGTTTCAACTGACCGAAGCTGCATTAAAATTTCTCTATGTAGTTGAGTAAGTCCTTCAACATTCGAAAGGCTCAATGCAACAAGTGATGAAGACAAATTAACCATGCTTCTTAGCACCTCTGCGGAACATTCTTCTATCTTTAAAACCCGAAGTGATGGTATCAATCCAATTGATACTTCTTCTAGTCTCCCACAGTATGATATAGAGATCTCACGAAGACGAGGAAACCATCTACCACTTCCATTGTCTTGACCATTATTAGTTGACCATCTCTCCCACCCTGGCATACCATAAAACTTCAGAACTTCAAGAGATGGAAATGCAATCCCAAGGAAAGAATCATCAGGTGCAAGAAACTCAAAACCCAAAGTCTTCACCTCATCCATCCCTTCAACAAACAATCTCTCAAGGGATGGTAGCTGTCCAAGTGTTGGTAAATGTGTACTTTTACAACGATATAATTTTAGCTCTGTTAAACGATAGAATGAAGGATCACCAATCCAACTAGGAAATCGTGGTCCCATGTAGTACAAAATCATGAGGTTTTCCAAGTTATGATGAGGCCTTAGCCCTTCAAGTACTTCATATTCAATCATCTCATCCCGAGAATCATCAAATACATCACTCCACTCCATATGCAAATCATCAAGACCTTTCTTTTGATGTAAGTTGGCATCCTTTGCTTCTACTGGATTAATCACTTTGTTCAACTCCATGATGGAAAGCCGGCCTTGAAGATCTGATAGGTTTTTAAGCTCGGATATTTTGAACCCGTTAAGTCCCTCAATTTTGACATGAGTTAGAGTCTGTAAACTTGTCAACCCACCGATCCCTAAGGGCATGTTTTGGAGTTTCAAGGTACCACTAATGTCAAGATGTCTTAGGTTTATTAACTTCACAAAACTTGCTGGCAAGCTAGATAAGTAATAACAATCACGAAGCAACAAGGTCTGTAGATTATAAAGGTGACTCACTTGTTCAGGTAAACATGTGATTGGAGCATAAGAAAAATTCAGGTACCGAAGATGCTTGAGACTACCAATGGATTCTGGTACCTTAGTGATTTTCCTAGTTATGCTAAGCACCCTTAGGAACTTTAGTTCAGGAAGTAATTCAGCAAGAAAATTGTCCAATAAGTTGTCACCTGCCCGACCATATGGCACTAGTAAGAGAGTTCGCATGCGTGTTGCTCTATGTAGTTCCTTGAGCTTTGTATATGATCCACATTGTTGACCAATCAGTGAAAAGTGACGAAACTTCTCAAAAGTTTCATGCTTTCCATATGCATCCATCTTATCATCTAATCTAAAGAAAAACTCTCCTGCGACACTTGTGGCCAAGTCATTTACTAGGTCGTGCATCATATATCCTAATTTGTCATTCGGTGATTGTTGAAAAAATGACCTTGATTGTAGCTCTTCAAAATACTCATGACCTAAACTCTCCATTGATGTATTATTGCTTTGTGACTGGGATAAAAATCCTTGTGCCATCCACAGTAGGACTAATTCTTTCTTTTTAAAAACATAATCCTTCGGATATGAGGAGCAGTATGCAAATGGCTGCTTCAAATGTGTAGGGAGATGATAGTAGCTTAGTCTTAGAGCCGGAAGAATCTCTTTTCCATCTTGTATATCCCATATCTCGCTTTTCAACAACTTCTCCCATTTATCCTCATTTCTATTTCCCTTCAAGACCCTCCCAAGTGTTTTCAAAGCTAAAGGCAATCCACCACATTTCTTTATGATACCTTCACCATGTAATTTAAGTAATGGGTATTTGTCAAAGCTTTTTTCACCAAGTGCATGTTGTGCAAACAAAGACATAGCATCTTTATTTGACAAAACATCCAGATGGTAAACTTCATCAGAGTCCATCACTGATGCGACCCTAGTATTCCTGGTTGTGACCATAATTTTACTTCCAGGTGCCCCTACAAGAGGGTTTTTGAGAAGTTCCCACTTACTCTCCTCTTCATTCCAAACATCATCTAGAACAAGTAGGAACCTTATCTTTTGAAGTTTTTCCCTAAGTGCCTCATGGAGCAGATTTAGATCAGCAAAATCTTTGTTTTTCCCATTTACTTTTTGAAATATAGCCTTGCTAATATTAAGTACATTGAACTCTTCCGAAACACAAACCCATGACCTTAGTTCAAACTGATCTTTCACTTTATCGTCATTATACAAAGCTTTGGCAAGAGTGGTTTTGCCAATCCCACCCATACCAACTATCGAAACTATCTTCACTTTTTCATCACTCCCCAACAACTTCCCTAACAATACATATTTATCCCCTTCCCGACCCATGACTTCCGACTCATCAGCACCTGATGTTTTCTCCCAGCGTCTCTCTGTTCTATTTGAGCTATCAACGTTCACATACACATTTAAACCCAGACCATTTTTCACCTCAACAATATCATTCAGTTTGGTAGTGATGTCATCGACCTTTGAACTCATATGTTGACCATACATAATGTTGCGAGGTGTAAAATCAGTACAACAAGTTGGGACGAATTTGAATAGCTTACTAGTGCTGGTGCTGGCATAAGATTCTTGATTCAGCTTGCGTCGCAGAGCTTCGGTGGTCAATTCATCGAGTACGTCATCTATGTCGTAAGCCAAATCTTGGAGATTGTTCACCCACAATCGAACAGCTGACTTTGTTATCTGCTTCTCACTTGCATCAGCAAGCACAGCTTGGATCAGGGGCAAGGTTTTCTTCCATTTGTTCAGCTTAGAGTCGAGTCCTTCCAATTGAGCCAGCTTCATCAAGTCTCCGGCGATCAGCTTCTCACAGAGCACAGTTATGACGGCAGTGACAACGATTTCAGCCATTGGAATTTGGAAAAGGAAAGATTGTTTCTTGATAATTTCTTGGTCGACGGTTTTGATTTCAAAGAAAGGAATGGATGTAAAAGGGCAGAGTGAATTTAATTTGTGTGAATTATATTTCATTTCTCATAGCATTCATTTATGGTCAACTGCAATCGAACAATCGTCACTGTTACAGGTCGCATATAATTTAGTTTTGGATGATTGACGACTTGCATTAATATACGCCCCCATGTTATTTATTACTTCCTCCGTCCCAAAATTATTGTCCACCTTACTATTTTAGTTTGTCCCAAAATTATTGTCCACTACCAAAAATTGATTACACTTTTACCATATTACCCCTAACTTTTAATAAAGTAAACTTGAATAATTACAAACACACATTTCCCATTGGTTTTAGAAAAAGGCAAGATTGGCCATTTTACTCAAAAAGACAAATATAATGATTGTTTTTCTTAATCTATGTGTTTTTTGTCTGTAGACAATAATTTTGGGACGGAGGGAGTAATTTTTAGAACATGAAATTGAAATTGTCTCTATAGTTTACCAAAATTTCACCTTGGGTCATTTATTTATTTATTATTTATTATTATTTTTTTTTACTAGAACCGTTTTTAGGTTTTGATTTTGCACTTGGACTGTTTTAAATTGACTAATTTGCCCTTAATGCTATTTTTTATAATATATTTTAGAGAAAATTACAAATTTAGCCAAATATATTAATTACTGTGTGGAAAATAGCCAAAATCCCTAAATTATAAAATTAGCCCTTAAAATCGCAGATGGATTAAGCTCATCTGTGATTTTGCATTTCCATCTGCGAACGTACAAGTGCCTAAAGCACATTTGTGTTTTAGACACTTGTACGTTTGCATATGGAACAGTCCATCTGTGATTTTGTACATTCCATCTGTGATTTCGTAACTATTTTGTATAAAAACGTTTTTTTTTCCTTCGTTTTTCACTATCTTTTTTAGAGAAACTCTTTCTCTTTCCACCTCCCGTCAGTTACAACGCAAACCAAATATTCATTTATTTTTTTAGAGAGGTTTTAAACAAATTCTTTAAAGAAATAACAACAAAAATAATAATTTTTTGCAAAAGTTTATATATAATAAGGTTGTTTCGTAATCAAACCCTGTCAATTTCGTAGTCAAAATAATTTAAAAAATCACAAAATCGCAGGTGAATAGAGAGGAAATCGCAGAAGGACATACTCCATCTGCGATTTTAGGCTGGAAAGGGGGGTATATATACAACGAAAAAAACCACCTGCGAATGTACAAGTGGCTAAAGCACGTTTGTGCTTTAGCCACTTGTACGTTCGCAGATGGCATGGCGAAATCACAGATGGATTATACCTATCTGTGATTTTAGTGGCTAAAAATATAATATTGGTTTTTTTTTAGCTATTTTCCACAAAATAATTAGTGTATTTAGCTAAATTTACAATTTTCTCTATATTTTAATTTTTTTCAATAATTTGTTCTGATTTTTAGGAGTGATAGTTACTCTCAACCACTATGAGGGGTAAATAGTTGTCCCTCCATTCTAATGAATTTGCTTTATACGCCTATTATTTTATAGATGATACTAAATTCTATTTGTAAAATAAATCCTTGCATGATGAGAATGTGTTGGCTTTGTACTGTAAGTTATGCAAAAACCATTAATACAGATCCAATAATATAAATGTGCACCACGTATTAGTAACAAATGCACCCTTAGTAAAACTACATTTAACCCAATCGAAGAGAATGCTACATCAGTTAGATTAGTTCACAAGTTGAACAAATGAAGCCTTATGGAATAGTGGTTGCACCGGATAAAAGATGAAAGTGTGAAGCACCAAAGGTACTACTTGCACTATAGTTAAAGTATGTTGCTAATACTTGCACTTAACGAAACTTATTAAAGATCATGTTATATCAGTTCAATAAGCTCACATGTTTAACAAATACAACAATTAGTTATTGGACTGGTCTAAAGATGTAAGCATCTTGCTAGTTTTTGAATGGTTTTCGCCCGGCCTAGCCCACAAGCCCAACTCACGCCCAACAGATCCCATAAAAACCTCGGTCATAGCCCGTAAAAATCCTGGACCTACCATGTTAAAAAACAAGCGTCACCGTAATTTCTTTGGTCATAATGTACTTTATACTTTTTGTTTCCGTAGAAGCTTATAATGTTTTTCTCTACTGGAATTTGTGTGGATCATTTTGAATAGTGTCGCATATATTATCACTCAATAACATGTGCTTCTCTTAAGCCACAGGGAATGGGTGCGCCACGCCCATTCGCCAAGTTGTTAGTGTTAACAATATGGGCTACACTAATAACATAAACACAATATACATAGATCGGCTAACATTTTTGTAAAAAACCAACCCTTTTTTATACAATTGAAACCTTTTTTTTAAATGGCGGTCTTTTTATAAAATTACATCTGTCAAACTTCCATCCAACCACTATAAATACACACTTAAACATTCACATTTCAACACATGCAATTCTCGTTACATCTCTCAAAACCTCCATCATTTTATAAAAATGTCTTCATCATCATCTTCCTTCGACGATCTTTTACAGATCACATTACAAGCAACCATCTGTGTGCATAATAGGCTACAACAAGCTATTACCAGGAAGAGTGTAGTATGCAGGATAGACAAATAAGATATATCAGAAGACAACGTGAAGATTCCCACCAACGTCTTATGTGTGATTATTTTGATGAGCATGCTATCTTTGAGATATAGTAGTATCGGAGGCAGTTCTGAATGCACAAACATTTGTTTATGCATATTGTTGAGGACATTACAAGAGTCTATGAATATATACGAAAAACTCCAAATGAAAAAGGTGCGCCTGACTTTCATCCAGTTCAAAAGTGTATAGTTGTACTTCACTTGCTAGTATATGTGTCACACTCCGACCAAGGCGGAACATGCCGGGAGTGCGGCTAAGTTCATGGATCACAGATAAACTGAATATATAGCACAAGTACAACGATAAACAAAACAACATTTGTATTCCATCATTAAGTTTGAATAAAGGGTACTTACAGATAATAATACTACTGTAGAAGCCTTAGCCTTAAACAGGTGGGCAGATAACAAAAACAAGCTAGCTAGGTCATCTGCAATCATCGACTAATCTTCTGCCTGAAATCCTGTCTAATGATCCACTGAGAATACATATAAGTTTGAGGGTCAACACAAAGGTTAGTGAGTGTCACAGGTTTTCTAAATAATGATACTTTTAATATGATCTAAAAAGTATTGCCTTTGTTTGTAAGTAATATTGTGTTCGGAAATGATTGATAAAGATAGTAATATAAACTGTGGTTTCTAGATAATGAAATCTAGTTAAAGCTTATAGTGACAAAATTGTACGGATAACGGATAAACAGACATACGGATATACGAATAAAGTTATCTGCCAAGGTTGTACTTTAGCAACCGCAGATACGGATAAACGGATGAATGACAAGTATATTTGATAAGCGTACACGTAAAAATTTATGATACTTGTTTAAATAGCTGCTAATACTTAGTATAGTGTTCACGAGCACATGTATGAGCCTAAGATACAAGTTCTAAAACTTGTATAAATATATAAACTATATATTTTTATGCACGTATAAGATATATTAAAACTACCAAGATGATAACTGTCTATACAGTCATAGCACATTTATAGTCGCTCGCATATGTTATTTTTATTAGTTGTGTTATTTTAACAATATAACATATGTAAATTTTGATGTTTTAAAACGATTATCTTTACTTAACATGTAATCGTTTAAACAATTATTTCTCAAACTGGTAAAGTGTTTACACAAAACAATGACATTTCATGTGTATTTTGTATGATAGAAATTACTTGGTACACGTACTACCATGTACCGACGAGGGCCAGACATGAAACACCGGAGGGCATGATCATTTTAGCAATTAAGCCGCTCTAAAATTCAACAACCCAAGCGGCCCTTCAAACCAGATTCCCCGTATCGTAAGTAGTAGAGTAATAATTAATATTTTTGTGTGATTTATATTGCATAAAAATGATGATGTTGTTTGTATAAACAAAGCATTTAGAAAATATATTTATAATATATTACAAGTAGTACATGTATTCCCCCCCCCCCCCCCCAAATATGTAAAGATGGGGTCATAACATTCACCCTTGAAGCGTGAGTTTCAGTTATTCGGAATCGGATTCTTTTTAGAAACTTGTCGTGAGAAACCACAAATGTCACGCTTCTTGAGCTTTGAAATATTCTCGGGACCGTTTCATAACAAATTTGAACTATCGGGGACTGATTTGGCAAAAATAATTTCAAAGTAGGGGATAAAATGGTTACTTTTATTCATAGTTTGAAGATTGGGATTTATTTTGTTTAAAATAACCAAATGAGGGGCTGTTTGTTTAAAATACGCCATGGTTTTGAGAAAATGACTTGTTTTGAATAAAAGGGTTTAACAAAGGGGTTGAATACGGTTAATTGGTATAGATCGAGATGGTTTAGGGATTTTGGGCCCGTTTCCTTCGGTTATCGGGTATAGAAGGAAAAAAAGATATGATCGAGTGAAATAGATGACCGAAGAGAGGGAAAAGACGCATTGGGCATCGACTGGGTGGTGACGATCGCTCCTTCGCGAGGAGGAGAGGGAACCCCGACCTCCGGCGACTCCATCGTGAGTTCCTACATGTCGCCGGTTATCAAGCACGATCGATGGCAAAACAAGCATGTCGAAAGGGAAGGTAGGAGGAGGCGATCGACCAAATATAGGGCATCAATAGCGACGTATTTTAGGGTATGATTGGTTGTCGGAACAGAAGAAGGTGAAGGGAGGAATCAGCATCGACAACGGTAATTGGTGGTGGAGGAAAGAGCTCCGTCAACAGCAATGGGGTGGCGATGGCAGCTCCACTGCCTTCGTTTCTTCTTCTTTTTGAAAAATGAACGGACCCAATCAAAAATCAAAGGGGCTTGG